TGCTTTAGCAAAAAGGAAAGTTTGAATCTTAAAAGTAGAGATAGTGTCTGTCTCCTGGATCCAGACTGGGAGCTGGTTCCACCAAAGCAGAAACTGAATTAATGATGACAGCAGATATTAAATGAATATTTCCAGTGGCAACAGCCCTTATTCAGCTTATAAATATGTAGTATATGTAACGTCTGCTCTTTATTTGGTCTGATTTGAACAGATTTTGTTTTGTTTAAGCCGTTTATTTCAACGTGCTGCAAAAAACATCAAATAAAAGCCCATAAAAGTGAATGAAAAGAAAAATTGTTTAAAAAGCAGTTAAATTTTCTTCACCAAAGCCCATAAAAGATTATTCTCAGGTTTTGCTTTGTTGCCTTTGATGAAATCTCTGCTGGAGTAAACGACTGTAATTTCACTGCAGTTTGTCGACGTGCTGCAGAATTCTCTTTAAACTGCCCACAATAGAGCCGCATGAACACCGTTTTCATGCTTAATAGATATTTATTATGTTAATGAGATGTCACTGATATGTCTCATTCACATCACAGCAGACCTGCCTGCAGATCCTACAGTGTTGATCCTTCATGCGTCCTCACTCTTAAAAATGTATTCAGAGCTGCAGAATTTGCCGGGTTTGCTTTCCCCTCACCTGCACTCTGCTTCCCTTCTTCAGATGTGCAGTGTCACACAGTCTTTGCACTCAGCAGGAGAGTTGTTTCCTCCTCTCTGTCTTTAAAGCTGTGCTTCTGCAGCAGCTCTCCTCTGATCTCTGATCAGATTGGGTCGGCTTTGCTTCCCCTTTTATCGTCTGTTTGTGAATTTGTGTGTAACTGGGTTGTAGTATGTGGGAGTGTTGCTTTTTCTCCTCCAGTGCATGCAGGGCTGTTTGTTTCTGGAGCCTGTTTATATGGTGCCAGTGTATTCTATATAAATCAGAGCTGATATGGTAAGGACTGCGACGAATTGTCCTCGTACATGAAGGAGTGTGTGTTATTCTCAGTGTGTGTAAATCAGTAAATCTGTGTTTGTGTGCATTTGTGTTCATGTAGAGACACAGATAAACAGCCTGTTTTACCCAGTGTGTGTTAGACACCAGTGATGGGACTGTGAGACAAACCAAGCCAGTGACATAGCTGAGGCTGCACCAACACCATCTGCAGCTTATGTTGTCGTCTAAAATGGGAATAAGACAGTCTGCTATCAGTCTGCTAACAGTCTGCTATCAGTCTGCTATCAGTCTGCTATCAGTCTGCTATCAGTCTGCTAACAGTCTGCTAACAGTCTGCTATCAGTCTGCTAACAGTCTGCTATCAGTCTGCTATCAGTCTG